GAGCTCGACTCGATTGTTTGCTCTGCCAACTCAATTTTTTGAGCTGATACAGCTCAATTAATATATTTTCATCATAACAAACGAGAAGCGAGGTGTACAGACACAACTTTTTAAATCTTTTGCTTTTACATGCTTAAGTATTTTAATTTCGATGTCAGACGAGTACGTTCTCGTTGATAAGCGTCAAAAATTGATAACGGATACATGACATTAATTTATCATATGGTTTAAAAAATCTTTATTATATTTTATATTAGAATTAAATTACATATAACTTTTCAACAATATAAATTGATCGCCCACAATACTTAGTGGTTTATAATTAACAAGGTTTTCAAATTCTATAACATCAGAGCTGTCAGACACATTTTGCACAAGATATGCGTACTCGTGGCATGAAAAAGACGTTAATAATCTATTATAAACCAATAAAAGTTTGCCATTACTTTCGCAAACTGACTTGATTTTTCCAAATACAGGTTGACCATTTTGTTCAGCAACGCATACGACCACTCCTGGCTGGTATTTACTGCCATATTTTTCAATCCAGTTGAAAATTTTAACTTTTTCATTGAAGAGATCATTTTTTTGCGGTAGTTTTTCTTGAACTGAGGACTTGAATTCTTCAAAGGAAATTTCTTGTGATGGGCCGTTTTGGAATTTTGAGCTTATCTCTTGCTTGTAAAGTATGCAAGCTAATTTTAATTGATGTTTTTTGACAATGCTATCACATACTAGTTTTTTAGAATGTATTGAATTAGCAGCAACTTTTGACTCTTGATGTTTAGCCTCAAATCTCATTCCCCAAGTATTTACTAAAGGACCAGTCTCTCTCATGACAGAGAATAGATGCACTGCTATGTGGTCTTTAGGTTTAAGCGGTCTTTTTAGTATTTGAATCACTAGGGAATGATGTTCTTTTATGAGGTTTTTTAAAAGTGTACTACATCCTCGTTGCAAAGCAGGGCAAGTGGCTAGAGCCACTATCTTGCGCAACACAATATATACATTCCATGCTGGATCATTGATTGGTATATAATCACCAATCAAAATTCCAAAGTGGGTCGTGAATTGGAATAATTCCGAAGCTGACATACGTATAACGTCGTTCAGCAAGTCTTTTTGAAAAATAGGGGTAGGCTTGTTACAATCGACTATGCCCCAATCATGTCTAGCTATACGTAAATTAAGATCATCAAGAGTGAAGAACTTTTTTTCGATATAATATTTGATGAGAGAGCACAGATCAAACATACAAATGCCCTCCATCAAATCGTGCATTATATCAGCAGAAATGTTATCCAAAACATGAAAACCAGGTAAATTTTCAAACACACAACTTTCTTTTATTCCAGTTTTGCTGACATCGTGAACATTAACATCTCTCTCATAATTTTCTTTCGTTCTCAAGTATGCTTCATCTTCCTGTATAGCAATAGATCGTTGAAATTTATTCATTTTACAAAATCTGCATGCATAATTAGCGTTAAAGCTTTCAGTAAATCCTAAAATACCATGTAGACCTAAGTTGTCGCCTACTATGAGACCTAGTTTGAAGAAAATTTGTACCCGTTCTTGTGAGATTGAAAGTTCAATGCCTTCTGTTTCAAGAATTTGGAGATTTTGAATTAAATGTTTAAAAACTGCACGATTCCCATACTTTTGCCTATCTTTCGAGTAATAAAGAAGAACATGAAATATCATGGAAAGGGTTGATTGGTACTGTGGAGGAAAGCATGGTAAAGATATGTATGTACCAGCCAACTTATTTTGTCCAGCATGACTACTTAATGGACTACCCGTTTCAAAATCATCAGAGAACAAAATTAAAGGAAACACTTTCTTTGACTTATCCCAATTTTCAATTTTTTTTTTCCACAACGGACTTTGAATAAAATTAGAAATTACGTCTTTTTCCTCGTCAAGAGATGATACATAGTTTACGACAGCATTATAAACACCTGGTAACTCAAAAATTTTTTTGAGCGTATCTTTCAACGGAAATAAATAAATATAAGATTCATGGTGAGAGGACCCTTTTTTTTCTACGCCACTAGATGTGCGTTTAATACCTTGCAGTCTGTTATCTAATCGATGTTTTGTTGGGGTTAAATAGTATCCTTTTTTTGTAAGAAATGCTAAACGCTTTTTATCACTGTCAATATCGTCAAAGGCCATGCTCAGAGAATCTATCATATTATTTAAATTGGAAACATCTACACCAGTATTTTCAGACAAATTCGATACTTCCTTTTTAATGATATCAAAAGTATAATTAAGTATATCCTTCGTATTTATTACGAAATCTTGCATATGCTTTTGAGAAAGATCTAAATCATTATAAAAGTTAAAAGTTTTATCCATGATAATATTTTTTAATAATTCAACTTTTTCGAACTTTTCTTTTTCTATGTTATGAGTATGATCTCTCTGATCAGATTCAAGTTTCAGTGGTATTTTGATATTGGTGAATGTAGAATCATTTGATGGGTTGAGGTTAACGACAGAGTGTTCGTTATTATGTTTAAGTTGCCAGTGGCTGCGAAGAGATTTGAAAAATGGAAAGGAACGATTGCATAGATTTTCTCCACATTTATAAGGAACCAATTCATCTTTATAATGGGTTTTTAAATGGGAATCTAACAGATCTATACTCAATGTTTTTTTACAAACGAAACACAACGGCATTTTTTATACTAAATTTAAATTCAATGTAAACCAATACTATCGATATCTATTTAGTGTTGCGCAAGTCAGCAACTAATGCGTATACACCTGGTGGTATTTCGTTGTCTGTTTCTGCTTTCATATTATATATCCGTTTTTGAATTACCATCCATGGCATCAAACATTCTTTTGGATAAACAAGTTGCAGTGAGAAAAAACTCTTGTATGTTACATCAAAAGCTCGAAGTGGTGAGGTGATTTCATATTTGAAATCGTTAATGACAACAAAACTTTTCTTGATGAGTCCATTATTTTCTACTATAGCCAGCATAGGTTGCTGCAGTAGTCCATACTTTTCTAGATCTGATTTCCGTTCAGCAAGAACAATTTCCAATTCTGACTCGTCCTTAAAAAAAAAAAAAAAAATACATGTACTCACACAAAATCATTATTTAGACTAACTCTCTAATACATTAAAAATGTATAAAAAAATAGAAGATGTTGAATTTTTAAATTACTATGGCCAGAAGTATAAACGCCTTTTGTGATTCCGATTTAGAGGGTTTCCATACTTCTGCGGGCCTTGACTTTTCCGTTGACAGCTTTGAATTGTTATTTATCACTGAAATCTGGGCAGGATTTGACAGAAGCAGTGGTAATAAATTCAGGGACAGCAAAACTTTTAAATCTGTAAAATTTATTTATGGTTATGTTGATTGTAAATAAAATAACTTGAAGAGGTATCGAAGCCAGGTGAAAATAAACATTCGAAAACAAAAAAAGAAAACATTTACGTAGCTGTAAAAAAAATTCAGAAAAAATGTCAGAGAGCACATTTAAAACTGTTCACTTTGATCTGCCTTCGGTATTTCCTGTTATCAAATGATAAATTACCATGATCTACAGTATTATCAATCAAATCTAAATAGCCTTTCATTTCTTTGCTTTTACGCGGACGAGATTTGGCAAACGCTACAATTTCTTTTACAACTTGAGCATACTCATCTTCAAAACAGCTACTATGATTAGGATATGCACAGTTAAAGTCAATTTCTATCAATTCGGCACCATTAATTGGATGCCGAAGTGTAGGGTACTCCAAGGTGACATCGAAACTTAGAGGACTATCTATAAGCTCCTTCATTCTTTGAGAAAATGTATCTTGCCAATATTTCCGAATTGTCGTCCACGGGGACAGATTTATTTTCAGCCAATTTATCTTATCGTGCATGACTTTCTTCTCTGCTTCCGTTACTTCTTCTTTTGAAAAAAACTCGCGAAATCCAAGGCATATCATTCGGCATTCACTTGATACATCAATGTATTTCCTCTTTTTGGTTTTCATACTTTCGGTAAGATGATTTCCTAGCAGTAGACCACGAAGAGTAGCGTGTTTGTCGTGCAATTTTCCTTTGGCAAAAATTGTTTTCTTTGACACTTTATTAGTCGTAGAAGGAATATAGTAAATTTCCTTTTCCTCGGTTGGAAATGTTTCAGCAATCAATCTTGAGAGCTCGTCTAGCCTGGACGGACGTATGCTACGAAAATCGGGACAAGAAATAAAAATAATTATATTATTTGAAACTTTTTATAGAACTTTTACGAGAAATAAGAATTTTATAACAATTTTATGCAAGCACTGCTTAAATAAATGGATTGGCAAATCCACAAATCAAATTTTTGAAAGAAAAATTTAACCTTTAGACGCCGAGCATGATCGACAGACGATGATGATACGGACAACTTAATACTTAGAGTGTAAGGAACTAGTAATACGATGTTTGAACACATGAATTTTGATGAAAATAAAATACTGCGTCTAAAGGTTTACGTAATGCCTAAACCATCATGAAACATTTTTTACGTGAGCTCCGGTACACTGAGAAAAAAAATTCAATGAAAAGCAATGAAACTTTGGTAAAAATAATTCAATATTTTGTTGGATGATATAAAAAAAGATTAATCCAATGAAATTATTTCATAGATTGTATTTAAATAAATATTTCATTGAATCAATGAATTTTTTTTCTCAGTGTNTTATTTCTGCTAAAATCCCTCGCTGGTCAGAAGTCAAGTCATGGTGGTCTTTGTAGTGGGCCAGAATAGCGATACCTTGAATCGATTTTTGGAGTACATCAATTACATTGGTCACTGGGGAAGTAATTTGCAGCATCAATTGTAGATTGTCAAATCTCTCGAAGTTGTAGACTTCAGGTTGAATTTTTTCTGTATTAGAATTTTCAGGTGGTTGAAGAATATTAGCTTGACTATCCACAGAATCACTACTCAAGTCTTTATTAAAAAGAAATGATCCATCCAGATACACCTGAAATATAGTTTTGAAGATAAAATCTTTTGCACTCTATCAAAAATTTTTCAAGATGCCTATAAAAGATCACTTCATCGTTTTTTCCCTCGAACTCTTCTTTCCATTTGGCTAGAAATATAGATCGTGGCCCTCCCTTAGTGAAAATACTCCTTATAACTTCATCGTTGAGGAGTTTAAAGCTCAATTCGTCTATTTCGTTTTCTTTAAATAAATAATGATAAAATAGAATACAATAAAATATCATTAAATATTGGTCAATTAAATATAGATATCATTTAATTCACATACCTTCAAAGGCTTCGATATATTTTTCAAGCCCGTAGCTTTTTAATTTATTTTTAACGTAATCGTCCATATCTTTTATCACTAAACGTCAATATCGTTTGTGAGTAAACATAACCAGTGTA